AGCTAACCAATCACAACACACACTGGCCCAGCTAACCAATCACAGCACATTTAGTATTTCAGAAGGCGGGCCTTCATTTGATACAGGAACTATTCGAGCCATTCATGCCAGACTGGGGAGAGAGGTGTTGTAATAATGTAAAATTAACAACCTAGTATGAGAGCCTGTTCTAGTACACCCCCAAAACAAAATCAAGACTTTGTAAAAGAGCATAATAGGACCCCTTTAATAGGGATTTGAAAACTGCCAGCTTGAAAGTATTCGGGACATGTTAATAATATTGAGAAGTATTGACATGTACATTGCCAGCAGCCATATCACCCTGTAGCCCAAGACTGGTTGCCCACTGAAGCTAAGCAGGGCTGAGCCTGGTCAGTACCTGGATGGGAGACCTCCTGGGAAAACTAGGTTGCTGCTGGAAGAGGTGTTAGTGACCACCCTTGTGGTCTGTGTGGGTCCTAACGCCCCAGTATAGTGACGGGGACACTATACTGTAAAAAGCACCGTCCTTCGGATGAGGGGTTAAACCGAGGTCCTGACTCTCTGTGGTCATTAAAAATCCCAGGATGTCCTTCGGAAAAGAGTAGGGGTATAACCCCAGTGGTCTCTGACCCTCATGGCCTCCTAATCATCCCCATACACTGATTGGCTTCATCACTCTGTCTCTGCTCCACCAATAAGCTGGTGTGTGGTGGGCGTTCTGGCGCAATATGGCTGCCGTCGCATCATCCAGGTGGATGCTGCACACTGGTGGTGGTTGAGGAGATTCCCCCGCTTTCATGTAAAGTTCTTTGAGTACCCAGAAAAGCACTATATAAATGTAACTAATTATTACATGTACATGTTGATTTTTTTAAGCTCTATATATCTAAATGTTTTGATGTGTGTTGCTTTGTGCCATTAAACTGACATTAAACTTTCTTTTTCTCCTTAGGCCTGCGGGTGCTGAAGGAGGAGAGTCAAGAACTAAATAAAAGGGAAATTAAGGATCAATATGAGAAACATCATTCATTAATAACGGGAGAAAACTCTTTAAGTTGCTCACAGAATGAAAAGACTTTGTCACGAAAAACAGCTCAAACGACTAGTCAAACTAGTAGTCATTTCGATCAACATGGAAACCTAGATGTCGACATGAGAATTCACATGGGAGACAAGCCATTCTCCTGCCAGCAGTGTGGGAAGAGTTACACCTCGAAAGGTAGTCTTAAAGATCACATGAATATTCACACTGGAGAGAACCCTTTCACCTGCCAACATTGTGGAAAAAGTTTCATTCGAAAAGGAAACCTGACTGTCCACATGAAAATTCACACTAGAGAGAGCCCATTCACCTGCCAGCAGTGTGGGAAAGGTTTCGTTCAGAAAGGCAGTCTTAAATCCCACATGAGAGTTCACACTGGAGAGAGTCCTTTTACCTGTCAACAATGTGGAAAAAGATTCACTCAAAAAGGAAACCTGAAAGTCCACATGAGAATTCACTCTAAAGAGACCCCATTCACCTGCCAACAGTGTGGAAAAAGTTTCACTCAAAAAGGAAGTCTTAAAGATCACATGAAAATTCACACTGGAGAGAACCCATTCACCTGCCAACATTGTGGAAAAAGTTTCATTCGAAAAGGAAACCTGAAAGTCCACTTGCGAGTGCACACTAGAGAGAGCCCATTCAGCTGCCAACAGTGTGGAAAAAGTTTTTCTCAGAAAGCAAGCCTTAAAATCCACATAAGAATTCACACTGGAGAGAAGCCTTTCACATGCCCTCAATGTGGAAGGAGTTTTACACATAAAGGAACCCTTAATAACCATGTGACAACTCACACAGGAGAGAAGCCATTTGTATGTAGTCAGTGTGGAAAGTGTTTCCGATTTACGGTAACCCTTAAAGACCACATGAGGATTCACTCGAGAGAGATCCATTTTATATGCCATCAGTGTGGAAGGAGTTTCACAGACAGAAATGATCTTAAGAATCATGTAGGAACTCACATCGGAGAGAAGCCTTTCATGTGCCATTACTGTGGAAAGTCTTTCAAAAACAATGCAAATCTTGAGGTTCATTTAAGAATTCACACTGGAGAGAAGCCTTTCAGCTGCACTCAATGTGGAAAGAGTTTCACAGTTAAAGGAAACCTTGACATTCACATGAGGGTTCACACTGGAGAGAGGCCTTACAGGTGCCTTCGGTGTGAGAAGAGTTTCACATATCACACGGACCTGAAACGTCATTTGCAAACCCATTCTGGAAAGAAATTCCAGTGTTCTGAGTGTGACAAGGGGTTTCGAAAAATTAGCAATTTCAGAAAACACCTGCATATGCTTTCGGGAGGAAGACCATTTAATTGTGTTAAGAGTAAAAGAAAAATCCCCAAACTCTCATCACACTTAGAGTTACATATGAAAAGGCATGCATATGTGAGACTGTATTCTTGTTGTTTTTGTGGAAAGAGTTTTAAATGGCTCGGCCATTTAAAATACCACCAGAAGATGCGTATCTGTGTGAAATCAAAGCTGCGTTTACGTCGCAGATGACTGGCCCAAACTTGGTTTTCTGCTCAAATAGTTTTTTGTTTTTTTTTACGTTGTTCACATGCCATTTTAAAATCATGTAATTTGGTTTGTATTGAGGTTTTTTTCTTCTTCAGTATAATACTTAAAAATCAGTATGTTGTATTCATGTCTACATTGCATTCAGAACATATTCATTAAGCATCAAAACCCATTGATAAGTGTTCAGATTTTTTTAGATTTGTTGAAGCACCTTTCTGCAGTGATTACAGCCTCAAGTGATATTTTGGAGTATGATGCAATACATTTTACACTCCTGGATTTACAGATTATGTGTCTTTTTTTTCCCCTTCATATAGCTTTCTCAAGCTGTCAGATTGGATGGGGACTGACGGTGGACAGCCATTTTCAAGTTTCTCCACAGATTCGATTATATTTCAATCTGGGCTCTGGCTCTGTCACTCAAGGACATTCCCAGAGTCATCCCTACGCCACTCTTGCATTGTCTTGGCTGTATTTAGGGTCATTGAAGGTGAACCTGCCGCCTAGTCTGAGTGCTGTGGGACAGGCCACATCTGGAAAAAGACTGTGGAAGAGCACATTTTCGGTATCTATCTGGAGGTTGGCTGCAAACTTGGAACTTGGTCCATTTCACATTTACTTGGGATTGGTTCATCCACTGCCTGCATGATAACAAAACATGTCAGTCATTGTTGTGCATTTGCATCAAATTTACATTAAAACACTTTCTGAAGATAAATTCTAAGTTGTTGTTCAAGGTTTTTGTAGCCATTGGATTTTCCACAATGTGGTGGGGCTATCAACCCACATTGGTATTTTATGTCCACCTAATAGCTCTGCAGGCTATTATATTTGTAAATGTTTTTACTCAGGCATCCTACAAAGTGTGGGAGATTAACGTAGCCTGGTCAGGAAAACATTTATCTCATGAGGTCCTCAAAGATTATAATGGGAGTTTTACTGAACTCAGTCACTGATAAACTCATGCTGAACTGACGTGATTGACAGCTGCAGCGATTATGAATGGAGTGTTCTTTGTTCACCTTCTCCATTGTACTTTTTTGTACTTGATATAAAGTTTGAATCGATTGAACTTTTTCTAAATCGTTTACACAGATAGGCCTATCGGGGTAAGCAAATATATATACATGCAGCTTTTCGTGGGCAGGAATTTCTGGAAAGTTGGAGTGAAAAAAGAAACATTCACTTACACTTTCATATTCATTTATACTTCATCCTGACTCTGTGCCGTGAACTTGCTGACTGTGCACGCTCCAGACGAGGCGTTTATACTTGACGTACTCGCCGTTGTATACTTCTGTGAAACGGCATGGGGCGACTCGGAGTAATTGTTCTTCAAACCATCAAAAAGCATGTCCCCCCCACTTTTCAAAATCACGTTTGTCCCCCCCTGCTGAGTTTTGCGGTGTTTCGTGAACGAATCGTTCGCGAAAGTCACTGATTCAATGATTCATTTATAAATACAGCCACTTGCTTAGTTACTGAATGAACAAATGACTCGATGACTCACGCATTAGACAGTGACTTACCGCCACCTACTGGCGCTTTTAGTATTTAAAAGAATCACTTTTCACTTTTTTATCATCATTGCATAATTAATCTATTGAATTTGTATTTTTTTTTAAACATTAATATTCTATTTATAAAGATAAAAAATGCATTGGAGAGTCAATTTAGGGGCAAATATTGTCCTTTAATGGAAATGTTGCAGTCTAAGTGGAAGAGAGGGGGTACGCAGAAATGCCTCAGGGTCTGGGAGCCACTGATGTAGAACATTCTGTCCTGTGCAACAAGTGATTTATTTTAAATTTTCAGGTACAGCGGTTAGTTTGAAATAAAAGTTTGTTTAACAGTGGAAATTGAGTCTCACATTATTTAAACATTATTCAAAACATTAATGGTGAACATTTTCGACTTTATAAAATGATTCTCTCAAGTCTTGGCATTCGGCCCCTATTAAACAATAAAGAAAGTAAGACATATTTTTCTTATACATAGTTTAGTAGCCTACTATTCTTTTTGGCAGAATTGATCATTAATCAACTTAATTATTTCCTGGATTTTGTATCACCATAGTCCCTAAATGTATGTAAATGCAGGAAATGGGTTTCAAATCGAAAACATTTTCCCCCATTTTGTGACCCCTCCACTTCTCAAACCAAAGTCACACCCTTGAATGTGACTGATATGTTCGTTTGTTGTTCTTGGAACAACATTCCTATCAAACAAATCATAAGCCAAACCCTAACCTACATAAAAAAATCATGAGGGATACGACATAAAATCATCTTGCTCAAGCCCTTAAGAACAAGAAGTGGCTCTACCTGATGGGCCGTAATGGTCCCGGATGCTGTAAAGACACTTCCACGTTCTCCTCGACTGGGGGTGTGAGAGGCGGAGGAGGCGGGAAGTCCTGCATAATCTCCGTCTCTCTGATGGGCAGTGGTGCCGGTGGTGGTGGAGGAGGAGATGGTGGCGGAGGTGCTAAAAACACTTCATCATCATCTTGCGACACAGCTATACTCTGAACATCTTGAAGGTTAGATTCTGAGATCCGAAGAGAGAGAAGAGGCTTTGTTGGGGAAACCGGGCTCTTGGGAAGGATTTGCAGCCTTGAATCAAGTTGTGACCCCGTGACCTCTGGGTTTGGAGGTGACGGAGTGGCCACCGGACACGGGAAGTCCTTCAGAGTGTCTTCAGAAGTGCTGGTGTCGCTGGAGTTTTGCCGCACCATTCCTGGTGCTCCGGACGGACTTTGTGGGCCAGTTTCGGGAAATGCAATAGAATCCAGGTTGGGCTGACACAGTATGTCTCCGTTATGCCAGTCAAGGCTGGCGGCAGTGCCTGGAGAGGTGAAAGGGCAAGGGAGTCCCACAGACGCAGCCAGACCTGAAGCACTCTGCGCTCTAGGCTGGTCCGAATGTCTCTGACGCTCACGCCTCAACACGGGTGCGTTTTGCTGGACAGGACCCTGGTTTAGCTGGTAACTCCTCTCCATACGTGCTGAACTTGACGGCTGTTTGTGTCCCATGTTCGCCAACACCCTATTAAAAGGCACAATATGTAAGTTTTCGCCACTCGAGGTCGCATTTTCAAAACAATAACAAAGTCGAAGCTTGATGATGCTATGAAGGAGGATGTTCCCGGATGAGGTAATGAATTATTATTTTTTTATTACATGTACTTTCCCCAGTTATTCAAACAGCGAATAAATTATACAAGAGAATGCGAGCAAAGAACATTTACATTATCAAAAAACATTATGACTGACTTCAGTCTAGCGCGAGTTTAAGCACTCTCAAAAAACTCATAATCAGTAAAGCTGTCTATACACGGTTTGATGAATGAATCTCTTACATCATACTTACATCTGCACTTTGTTGTTTATGAGAGAATTCGCGTGAGAGCTGAATTCAGTCGGTGAGCGCGTGCAGTGAACAAAAAAATCTTCTGAACGCCTCTGATTGGCTATTGCATTCATAAGCTCAACAGACTCCTGTGTGATTGGTTATAATGCGCAACACTGTAAAAACTTGTAAAAAATAATGGCACAACATTGAGCAGATCTAAATTTAATGCTGCGGTCAACACTTTTCATTTCATTTTCACTTTATTCGCAACAGCCATAATGTATTTAAGTTAACTGTATAGCAGCATTTGTGTCTGTGTGTTGCCATAGTTACTACAAGCGGAAACTGAGGATAGTGCGGATATTACGTCATTGATAGGCGACAATGACTAGGGACGAGTCATTATTTAAAATTGGAATTTCTCTGGATTTACAAATCCTTGGGAACTTTTGGGATAACATAAATACAGAACTGCATGAAATATACCACACTGTGCAAGTAGTTTTTGGATATCTGATTATGTAAATCTTACATATTGTGCCTTTAAAACATGCATATGAAATGAGAAAGTACCATCATTATGTTGTGCTTGTCAGGTTTCCAATACCTGTCATTTTTAAAGTAAATTAAATGCAAATCATTTATCCTTCTGGTGGGAATTTGTGCATGGCACAAAACAAACTCAAAAATAGCTGCAGCGGGACTCTGTCACTGCCACTGACCGATTAAGGGTTGGTCCTTAATTTAAGACCTTTTATGGGTAAATATTTCCATAAAACTCTGTTTCAAATAGTTTTGAACTTGCAAAGAAATTCTTGCTCTTTAAAGGGCTGCACAATTCTTGTGAAGAATTACAAAAATGTTCCTCATGCAAATTTGTCTTAATTTAAAGCCTATAGAATGCAAATATAGATCATCCAATGAAAAAATGTTTATATGTATAATTGTTTTAGTATGTGAATTCTGTGCAAAATAATATCTACACATGTTGTATATGGGACTTTATTTGTAAGACACGAGAAGTGAATGTTTTTTAATGTATACACAAACCTGTTTTCAAAGGATTCCTTGGAGGAAACTCTCAACAACTGAAGGTCTCTGGCTAAGAAGTCCTAGACAAAAAGAGAACAAATAATATTTTATATGAGCAGGTGACATTGTAGCACTTTCTGGTAGAGGTGAAAATAGTGAAGTTTCATTCACCAGGAACAAGAAATTAATCATTATTTCATGGTTACCTCAAGTTTAGGGAACGTTGGTACTTTAATGTTAATTTTAAACTCAAGCGCATGCCATGACTACTGATAAACTAAGATCAGTTAATAAAAATAGACACAGCATGACAACATCCTCATAGCTGAACTATGTCGTATTTAATTAGCATGAACTGTGAACAGATGCAAAGACTGTGACCTGAATGGTGCGCTTGGTTTTGATCTTTTTTCATGGCCAGAATGTTTAGGTTTATGTAAAGCCACAATATCAGCAAGTAGCAATGTCATCATGCTGGTATTTTATCTCCTGCTTGAACCATTTCCAATTTTGCGTTGCTGGAATAGTCTGGGATTTCACAGGATAGTTGTACGTCTACTGTACACGGTCATCATCATACCAGAACCATTATCGTTTACATAAAGGATAATTATTCTCCTAGATAAATGGTTTTCTTAACCATTCCAAATATTTTAAACCCAAAACCATGACGGGTTGTCCATTATCTCCAACTCCTCCCCTCTGGCACAGAAGGAGTGCAGTTATCTGTTGTACATCTGTCAGATCTCTGACTAAAACCCAGGCTCTGTGGCACCAAACAGGAAGTGAGGAGCACTGGCCTCTTCCTGTGGAGCACCAAGAGTGGGTACAAAAAACGATTATCTGCCCATCTATAGGAAAGGGACTGTTTTTTTGCCCTATAACAGACAGACCACCAAGTACCATAATTGGCTGAAAACGTATACACGGATTATCACTGAACACCAGCTTAACTGTTGCCCCAAAAATTAAAATGCCATCATTTATCCACCCTCATGTCAAGACATAATTTCTTCTGTGAAAGATAAAAAAGAAGATATTTTGAAGACTGTTTTTGTCCATACAATGAGTCCAAGTTTTGGTGTCAAAAACAAGGTCCAGTTGGACCCCATTGACTCTTATTGTATGGACAACATTCTTCAAAATATCCTCATTTGCATTCCACAGAAAAAATAATTTAGGTTTTAGTGACATAAATGTGAGCAAATGATGACCATTTTCATTTTTAAAAAAGTTGAATCCTATTTCTTTAATGTATTTAACAATAGCACCATATATTTTACCTTGTTCTGCATGCTCTTTCAAGAGGTTTGACAAATTAAATGATTCAACACCCATGTTTCTTACTTCCTTAATGAGTTTCTTACCGCCACCTACTGGCGCTTTTAGTATTTAAAAGAATCACTTTTCACTTTTTTATCATCATTGCATAATTAATCTATTGAATTTGTATTTTTTTTTAAACATTAATATTCTATTTATAAAGATAAAAAATGCATTGGAGAGTCAATTTAGGGGCAAATATTGTCCTTTAATGGAAATGTTGCAGTCTAAGTGGAAGAGAGGGGGTACGCAGAAATGCCTCAGGGTCTGGGAGCCACTGATGTAGAACATTCTGTCCTGTGCAACAAGTGATTTATTTTAAATTTTCAGGTACAGCGGTTAGTTTGAAATAAAAGTTTGTTTAACAGTGGAAATTGAGTCTCACATTATTTAAACATTATTCAAAACATTAATGGTGAACATTTTCGACTTTATAAAATGATTCTCTCAAGTCTTGGCATTCGGCCCCTATTAAACAATAAAGAAAGTAAGACATATTTTTCTTATTTCTTATACAGTAGCCTACTATTCTTTTTGGCAGAATTGATCATTAATCAACTTAATTATTTCCTGGATCCTGGATTACCATAGTCCCTAAATGTATGTACATGCAGGAAATGGGATTCAAATCGAAAACATTTCCCCCCATTTTGTGTCCCCCACTTCTCTAATAATATTACATTCATTGTGTCATAGATTAAATAATTTATGAGATTTTACAAGATGTATTCAGGTAGATTCCATTAAAAAAATCAAGCCTTAAAAACTACTCAAAAATATTATGTGTAATATCAATCTCAGTTACTGAAGATAACGGATGTCTTTACCTCTCTCAGGCGCGTATTGACAGCAAGCAACGGAGGCAACGGAGCAGAATCACAGTTTTAAGTATATAGTTTATGTACACTGTAAAAATAATTTTGAGATTTTGCCATTTGCCTTCCAAATGTTGGCCCTAAGAAACGAAATGAAAAAAGGAAATCGGTTTAACCCTTAAATGCATACCTCGGGTGTTTAGCGACCCGGGACATCATTCTCTCTCTTCTCCCTCCTTCATTTTTTAAAGTTTGACATCAGCTTTCTTAGTATTCTTCAATCTATTCATTATAAACAATATAACAAGAAAAAAATAATAAAATATAGAAG